GGGGGAGAAGAATCCTGCATATTTTCTCAATCATCAATAGAAACTTATTTCCTGGAAAATCCTCGTCCTTTTGGAAATCAGTAAAATGACACTTACACTTGGTTTTTGTTACGTGCTCTCCATTGCCATTTCACTTCCACCCAAGCTGATGATGACAAAAATGAATCTTGCAAGCAAGGAAGAGATTTTCATCCCTAGATGAATTCATAAGAACGCATTTGAGGATCGGAGTATTTCTCCTAGAATAATGGGTTCAAGCAACTATGAACAAATCACTTCCCTTTTTCTGCTGCACGGGGCTTGAACCTCAAAAGGTTCTACTGCATCAAGATAATTCACACCCACAGTCTTCAAAGAGGTTTTGGAATTCCTCAAATCCATGTTCATAGTGAGTAACACTATTAAAGGAAGGGTTAACTAAGACCCAAAAGGGGCCTGGTGTAGCGAACTCCCCTGCAAAATACAGGCGGAATAGTGGCCAGCCCACCCCTTGTGAACTTTTACACTGGATTATGTGAAGCTGGCATGGAAACACTTTCCACAGTTCATAAGGGGCATAGGGTCCCTGTGCAGCTGCTCTGCTTGCAGAGTCTCAGCACAACTCACATACTGTGGAGAAACTACTGTAGTGGTTCTCTGCACTATGGGTTGATTTCACCATATCACCAATTTTGGTTTCAAATGTTTTCCCACTCAGATGGTTTGCTGCGTCTCAGATGGTGGTGGAAGAACCACTTGTGGTTCAGCGGATTAATTTGGTGGAGCAATTCACACAAACAAGTTTATCCAAACCTTATTGCTCCACTTATAATTTAAACTTGGTTTTACAATCCAAAACTACATTAGACTGTATAGACACTGAAGAGAGGGATGTTTTGATTTGTAGATTCACAACTGTAGAAATACATTAGAAAAGCCAAAGATTGGCACTGATTCCTTTGAAAAATAATCCAACATGATAAGATTCTGTCCTTGGATGTTCTCCTTATACAAGGGCATGAGTGCCATTAACCTCACTGACAATTATGTGTGCACTTTGAAAGGAGAATTCATCAGATCATCTCTATTTCCTCGGAAAGCCTGGAGAGCTCTAAGGTTGGCTAAACAAAATAGTGACCCCATTTACCATTTGTAACACATCTTGTGATTCTCAGTGTATTTTAGGACTTATCTTACGTGAGCTGATCTTTCTCTCAATTTGCTGCTGGCTGGCAATTATCACTGACTGAATATGACCTGCCAATTGTGGGGAATGTGTCAGCCCTGTTAGTGTCAGACAAAGAAATTATAATAAATATTTGCTCAGTGATTTTATCTTTTCTAGGTAGTCCGTTTTGATTGTTTAGCTCACTACCTCTGACCTAATGTTGTGGCTGTACAGTAAAGCAAATGCCATTGATTCAAATGGGTTTTGATCATTATTTCAAAAGAAATCTTGCAGCTTATCACACTCCGTTATCTTTGTTTGGACTGAGGATTATATTATGAAGCATGGTCTAGCAAGGCTAATATTGTACACTATGCTCTCACCTTCACATATGCTCCGAATACCTTCAAACTCCAATGCAAATTCATGTCTGAATTGTCCTAATCACCAGCGCGCAGGCCGTATAGCTGAACATACTTTTACTTTGAACCGTACAAAATCTAATATTGTCACTTGAGGCTATATCTGCTTTCCTTGTCATACTGCAGTACATAGTTTTCTTTGTCTGCTCTACAACCACACTGAGACAAAAATAACACGCTACTGTTTGGAGTCTCACTGGGCCAGAAAGGCTAAATGTTGCTGAGCATCAGCCAGTGTTGAAATGTGAGTGTAGTAGATCTTCACTTCTCTTTAAAAAAGGAGTCACCTGGTACCAGGAGCCTTCATATCTTAGAGATCCTGCTTTTTGGTGGGGAGAGGGGAGTGGTAAATGGGGGGAAGCCTGATAATTCACAGTTTAGGCACCACAGACAAAGAAAACAAAGCCATAGATAGGTGATAATGTCTTCTGAGTAAGTGTTCCAGAGTCCAGGCCTGGACCACAGGGCCACAGTCAAACCCCCCAAATTCCTTACAAGCAGTGGAAGATCAAGCATAGATCCATTCCTGACACCTGCTGGCAGGAAACCTAGGGCCGAAGAGAATTTAGATCGACAGATCAATCTGAGGAGGGGGTCGATTGCTGGCGAAGAGTCGACCCAGGAGAAGCAGAAATTGGAGAGTTGGGGGTTGGCTGGCTGCTCTCTGTTGTCTCTTGTGTTTGAATTTAGTACACCACCATGTTATGCATTACGAGGTACGATCTGAGAAACCCCATAATGCAGTATGTAGGAACAGGCTAAAGCCAATCATAAGGGGCAGCCAATGGGAAGAGGGTACTGAAATAGCTGGGTCCACCAGAGAATCATCACAAGAAGTGACCGCAGCAGTGTTTCTAGAGCCCTTATCTGAGGGAGGAAAGACCATCCCCATCCCACTGAATTCAGCCCTCTGAGTAGTGAGTAAGCACAGCATGAGCCACCGCAGCACAGACCATTCTGTCCTAGCATCCCTTTTCTTCCCCGTCCAACTCTGCTGCAGTGCCTATTTATCAGCCAAGCAGCAGAATGGATCATGAGGAATTGCAGCTGCAACTCCCTTGCAGCACAGGAGCAGGGGAAACTCCTGACTTGCAATGACCACCTCTGCTACATTTTCATGAACTGCTGCAGTAAATGATAAGTAGCTGGTTGTAAAGTGGGGATGTTCGGAGGCTCAAACTTTAAGTTCAGTCCCTAAAATGAATTGGAAGCATCTGGCTGTTTTGCTGTCAGTGGGTAATGATGCAGCCGTGTCACAAACCCAGATGTGATTCTACATTTCTGCAGCTGTTCTGATGGGAGTTCCAACACCCGAAACATCTGCTATTGGGAATCAGAGACACAATATTCACACAGTGGTTTAGGGCTGTTGTTATTGTTTTCTTTGGGTTTTTTCCCTTAGAAAATGTGTTTTGTCTCTATAATGTATCTTCCTATTTTTTACTAGAAGTGTTAATATCCTTAACAAGAGGTTCTCTCTCTTGCACTCACACACACACACAAAACTCCTATATTTCGGTAGCAGACGACACAAAGGTCAGGAAATTCAGAGTGAAGGCTGCATGTGTGTCACAAATGAGGTTTATGGGGATTGACATGATAGAACATTATGGTCTGTCATGTAAATATATATATCGGGAGCTGTTAAAATGAAGCCATTATTGTCTGTTGCATAAATATGTATTTACACCATTTTAATAATGCAGAGATTGCAGATTTAGAACATGGGTGGAAAAAGCTTTTTGAGTCATTGCATAAGGGCCTTTTGTGGGAAAAAAAATTCAGATCTAATTTATCAAAACAAAAGTGATTTGACAATCATACCACAAACTCACCAACCAAATCTGAGGATAGTTCAGGTGGGATGAAAGTGTCTTGAAAATCAGTAAGCCTCGGGAAGTGGGGGCGGATGGTATATGATCTTATAATGCTCACATTGATTTATTAAAATATGGGGGGGGGGATTGCACTCTGGCTGAGACTTTTGAATGCCAAATTTAATCCTGAAGTGAAGTTTATGATTGCATTGTATAAACTCATTAAACCCAGAATTTCTTATGGAAATGCTGATTTAGCACAGTAGCATGAGCAGAAAATGTTATAATTCTTTGATTTCCTGTCACTGTGGACAGTTAATAAACTCAAAGTAAATAGGACATGGAAAAGCAATATGAGGGACTGTATTATTCCAGCTGCTACCATGCTGTTAATTACACTTTATTTTTTATTGAGCAATTCAGCACAGACTTTCTGGTGTCCTGGAGGCCATCTCCTGCTTTGGAAAGTTAATCTCATATTTTAGCAGCAGCAAAGGACATGCTATCCCACTAAGGTTTCTGCATGCTGATCGACTCTCAGACATGCACCACATTGATACTAATTGTGTCTCAGCTGTGACTTTTATCTCCCGTTATCATAGACTCAGAAGGTGCTGTGAGATAGTGGTGGCTGGCATGGCTGGGAAGGGAGGGTCAGTCAATATGAAGGGTGTGAATCGTAGGAACATGAAAGCGTGCTTTCTGCTGTTGCCTCTCGGGCTGAGAGGGTTACTGAAATGAGTGAGCGGTATCAAGGAGAAGGGAGAGAAGAAAGACAATGAGAATGAAGAGATACAAGGTGGTAGCAGGGATTGAACAGAGAAAGTTCGGAAGATGTGAGAGAAACAGCAGGAAGAGGAGGATAAACAAGACAATATGGAGAGGGAAGAGAGAAAAGCTTGAAGGAAGGAAAAGGAAATGGAAGACAGGAAACTGAGATGAGAGAAGGGGGGCAGGAAAAGAAAGAGGAGAAAGGCAGAAGAATTTCTTCCCCTGGGAACAGTACCTCGACTCATCTACTAAGAGCTTATGCTGCCTTGAGAAGAGTCATTTCAAGCTCTGGTGAGACTCACAGGAGGAATTGGGGAGCCCTGAGTTAACCATAAAAAAGCAAAGGAGGAAATGGAATTCAAGGGCAAATATAAGCGAGGGGGGAAAAAAAGGGAAAATGGAGAGAAATGGGAGATATCGTTCTCTTTATGAGAAGACAGGATGTCCCAGTTTAACTTTACAATGTATTTTGGACTGTTTTCAGGACAGGAGCCCCACTTCCATGCTAGATTTCAGGTGAAGCTCTAGCAAAGCAAACTCAGCTCCTTGCTTTGGCATCTCAGTCAGCAGTAATTTATATTGCTGTTCCTCCTTAATAAAATCCATCGTGCACTCCAAAAGAGTAACTAGGACACTTAGTTTTTATTCCACATGCATCTCATTTGTCTTCAGCAGGTTCTTCCATAATCTCATCATTATTGCTATCACCCTCTGAGGACAGCTGACTTGCATTAATCAGCTAGGCCTCTCTCATCCCTCACTAGATTCTTTACAGTTTTACTGTGCCCTTGGGCATCCTAACTTTACTTGAAAAATTAATAAACCTCCCCTCTCTTATCTTACCTTATTAATGTCTGTCTTTGTAACCCATTATCCGTGCATCTCATCAGTGACCATTTGAGGATGTGGTGAGCACCAAAGGATTGCACCCTGGTGATGTAGCACACAAGAGTGCCCT